GAGCAGCTCTGCACCCGGGCCTCAGTTCTGCATCGTCATTTGAGCCGAGCAGAACAGTTTAGAGCCAGGGCCAAATTCTTAGCCAAAAGGGATGTACCCGCCAACGTTGGGTGGATATCATCCGAGCGGATGAGACCGGGCTTTCCCCAAAAGGCACTCCAATTGTCAACATGAACAACACCACTTCGAGGGCACCAGCCAGACAGCCAGCGGTTGAAAGCCGAGTGTCTGCTGAATGCTTCTGCACTGCTAGTGCTAGGTAGGGGCCCAGAGAAGATGACAGTGTCGGCCATTGTGCTAGCCAGCTTGCACACGGCGGCGACTTGCAGCTTCAACACCTCGGACTGTTTCCGCCGAACGTCATTACCACCCGCGTGAATAACAATTCGACGGAAACGCTGCTTGTGGGTCATCATGAGCCTCAGATTCCCTTCAATATCACCAAGCCTGGCCCCAGGGAAGCACCGAACAGTGGCTCCTGGGATCTTAACACCTCTAACAATAGAGGAGCCAATTACCAGCGCATCAGCGACTCCATCGGCTCTCTCAGCAGCTCTCTCAGCGGCTCTCTCAGCGGCTCTCTCAGCAGCTCTCTCAGCGGCTCTCTCAGCGGCTCTCTCAGCGGCTCTCTCAGCAGCTCTCTCAGCGGCTCTCTCAGCGGCTCTCTCAGCAGCTCTCTCAGCGGCTCTCTCAGCGGCTCTCTCAGCGGCTCTCTCAGCAGCTCTCTCAGCGGCTCTCTCAGTGGGGCCTTCTTCCCCGACAGAGCGTCCCAGCGATTGTAAATGCTAACAGGAGGAGGCCCAATGGGGAAACTACCAACAACACGTGGCCCTCTCCGAACAGTCACAAAGCCATCACTATCCTGGTCTTGTCCCAGCTGCGGAGGACGGGCTGGGAGGCTAGGCTCGCTAGTTCTCCTCTGCCTTTCCCTAAAGCTGCGCTCCGCTGTCCCTGAGGATACGGCCTGGCTGTAGCTAATGCTAGCGCTAGCTCGAGACTCCAGTGCTCGGAGACGCAGCTCTAACTCACTGACCCTGGATTCCAGAGCTACGACTACACTACACTTCACACATCTATCACTACCCTCAGAGAAGGATCCAGGGTTTAGACTCGCCATATGGCAACTCGAGCAGTAAAGGATTGAGGGAGAGACAGCAGCCGCCATAGTAGTAGCGAGTTAGCGGCTAGGCTAGGCTAAGCTAGGCTAGGCTAAGCTAGTACGGATCCGGGCCCGCACAACAGACTCCGAGACCAGACAAACAACCGCTACCTAAACCTCAGCTACAGTACAGCTGACTCGGAGTGCTTACACAGTTAGCTTGGTGTACAATACGTGGATTTGTAATGTGTTTGTTAGTGCAAACAGAGAGCAGAGTGATAGCAGTCAAGAAACACGCTCACCGGATACAGGAAGTCACCGGATACAGGAAGTCACCGGATACAGGAAGTCACTTTAGCATAATAAAGAAGCTAGTATAAATCTAGCTTTAGCATAATAAAGAAGCAAGTATAAATCTAGCTTTAGCATAATAAAGAAGCTAGTATAAATCTAGCTTTAGCATAATAAAGAAGCTAGTATAAATCTAGCTTTAGCATAATAAAGAAGCTAGTATAAATCTAGCTTTAGCATAATAAAGAAGCTAGTATAAAATCTCTAGCTTTAGCATAATAAAGAAGCTAGTATAAAATCTAGCTTTAGCATAATAAAGAAGCTAGTATAAATCTAGCTTCTTTTTTACGGGCATCGTTGGCGCCCATCGCGGTGAGTCAGCGAGCAAACCAGCTGGATTATACTCTAGTTAATGCGAGCTGCCAACTCTCACTGCTCACGCTGGAGGCGTACTCGCATGAGCCTCTCTTTAGCGGGGATTAATGACCAAGCTGAAAACGAGAAACGCCGCGTCAATGGAGGGTGATTTGGAAACTATTAAAACGACACTGAATGCATTGGCCGGAGAAATGCAGATTCAGCACAACAACAAACCATAATGGACCTTGCGCGGGAAGTCAGAGATCTAAGGATCCTAAATGATGAAAAGGAGAAGAAAATTATGGTTTTGGAAAACGGCGTGGCGGACCTGGAGCGGACACTCGCCTCAACGACCTGATCATATCAGGCCAAAGCTGCAGCGGCAGGTGTAGGCGGAGAGCTGAGCGCGGAGAGCTGAGCGCGGAGAGCTGAGCACAGAGAGCTGAGCACAGAGAGCTGAGCGCGGAGAGCTGAGCGCGGAGAGCTGAGCGCGGAGAGCTGAGCACAGAGAGTTGAGCACAGAGAGCTGAGCGCGGAAAGCTGAGCACTGAGAGCTGAGCGCGGAGAGCTGAGCGCGGAGAGCTGAGAGCTGAGAGCGGAGAGCTGAGCACAGAGAGCTGAGAGCGGAGAGCTGAGCACAGAGAGCTGAGCGCGGAGAGCTGAGCGCGGAGAGCTGAGCACAGAGAGCTGAGCACAGAGAGCTGAGCGCGGAGAGCTGAGCACAGAGAGCTGAGCGCGGAAAGCTGAGAGCGGAGAGCTGAGAGCGGAGAGCTGAGCACAGAGAGCTGAGAGCGGAGAGCTGAGCGCGGAGAGCTGAGCACAGAGAGCTGAGAGCGGAGAGCTGAGCGCGGAGAGCTGAGCACAGAGAGCTGAGCGCGGAAAGCTGAGCACAGAGAGCTGAGCACAGAGAGCTGAGCACAGAGAGCTGAGCACAGAGAGTTGAGCACAGAGAGTTGAGCACGGAGAGCTGAGCGCGGAGAGCTGAGCACAGAGAGCTGAGCACAGAGAGCTGAGCACAGAGAGTTGAGCACAGAGAGCTGAGCGCGGAAAGCTGAGCACTGAGAGCTGAGCGCGGAGAGCTGAGCGCGGAGAGCTGAGAGCTGAGAGCGGAGAGCTGAGCACAGAGAGCTGAGAGCGGAGAGCTGAGCACAGAGAGCTGAGCGCGGAGAGCTGAGCGCGGAGAGCTGAGCACAGAGAGCTGAGCGCGGAGAGCTGAGCGCGGAGAGCTGAGCGCGGAGAGCTGAGCACAGAGAGCTGAGAGCGGAGAGCTGAGCACAGAGAGCTGAGCGCGGAGAGCTGAGCGCGGAGAGCTGAGCACAGAGTGAGCTGAGCGCGGAGAGCTGAGAGCGGAGAGCTGAGAGCGGAGAGCTGAGCACAGAGAGCTGAGAGCGGAGAGCTGAGCGCGGAGAGCTGAGCACAGAGAGCTGAGAGCGGAGAGCTGAGCGCGGAGAGCTGAGCACAGAGAGCTGAGCGCGGAAAGCTGAGAGCGGAGAGCTGAGAGCGGAGAGCTGAGCACAGAGAGCTGAGAGCGGAGAGCTGAGCGCGGAGAGCTGAGCACAGAGAGCTGAGAGCGGAGAGCTGAGCGCGGAGAGCTGAGCACAGAGAGCTGAGCGCGGAAAGCTGAGCACAGAGAGCTGAGCGCGGAGAGCTGAGCGCGGAGAGCTGAGCACAGAGAGCTGAGCACAGAGAGCTGAGCACGGAGAGCTGAGCGCGGAGAGCTGAGCGCGGAGAGCTGAGCACAGAGAGCTGAGCGCGGAGAGCTGAGCGCGGAGAGCGGAGAGCTGAGCGCGGAGAGCTGAGCGCGGAGAGCTGAGCGCGGAGAGCTGAGCACAGAGAGCTGAGCACAGAGAGCTGAGCGCGGAGAGCTGAGCGCGGAGAGCTGAGAGCGGAGAGCTGAGAGCGGAGAGCTGAGCGCGGAGAGCTGAGCGCGGAGAGCTGAGCGCGGAGAGCTGAGCGCTGAGGCCTGTTTCACACCGCACGCCGAGCGCAGAGCCGAGCGCCCTTTCCAGCCGAACTACCTCGCGGCGAGCGCATGTATTCAGACTGACGCCGAGCGTGGGCGAAGCGCCTAGACGAGTAGCACGCACAAAAGGAGTAGTATTGTACTCCAAACTAATAAACATGTTGTATATTTACATATGTTGTCTGAAATAACAGGTCAGAAATCAAAATAGCACATATAGACCTTAAATAAATTTCCTTATAATGTATCTTGTATAATGTATCTTATAGCCTATTTTGATTGTCGTTTCATTATCATAGTTAATTATAAGGTGTGGGGGCGGCCTGGATCTCCATGGGGGTTAAGGTTAGGTTATAATTAATATATATATATATATATAATAATATATATATATATATAATATATATATATATATATATATATATATATATATATATATATATATATATATATATATATATATATATATATATATATATATATATATATATATATATATATATATTATATATATATATATATATTATTATATATATAATATATGTTACAATTATATTTTATGCATAAAAAAAAGTATGACATGGAAAAGTGTGTAATTAAAAGAATAAACTTATTTGTACTTATGCATTACAATAATGAGATTAGATAAACGTGAAATTGCTTTATAAAAGTTATTTTTTTGAATATTTTCGTGCTGAAAGCCGCTTTGCTGCGCAGCCTACACGCGGAAAAAATGCGCTAGAGTTCCATTTTTGGTTTCAGGAGCGGAGGCCGCAGCGGCGCGCGCCGATTCCCTGCGCGCCGCCTCAGCGCCGGTCTGTACACAGAAGAGCTTTCTCATTTGCACAACAGGACGCGACTTGAAGCGCAGCTTGCGAATGCACGCGAGCGGGTTTCGAAGACGAATTCGTTCACGAATTCGTGTGCGGTGTGAAACAGGCCTTACTCAAACCAGCAGTAATTCTGCAATTTATGAACAGGAAAAAAAAGAATGCACTACTCAAGCAAGGAACGAACGTATAAACGAACACCTAATCAAGAAAAACGCCGACATTGCCGAGCAAGCACGCCTATAACGGAAACAAGGCCAGATTAAGGCCCGTTTTCAGGCGTATTGACTACATTCATATGGACGCACACATTTACTGAGCTAACTCCGTGTTTACAGAAAAAGTTTCTGAAATTATAAGCGTTTTGTCTTCGTGTGGATATAGCCTAAGGGACTTGGACCAACTGCAGGGTCTTCATTCGGCTCCGGAGGAGGCGTTCTTTGGGTGAAGGAGGAACATGAGCTGGATAACTATCTACAGTGACTCTTCCTCATCCGACAATGAGCACTTAAGCTTCACGCAGGAAACTGAACTTCAACTATTTTCATTCATGGATAAGAACGAACCAGAAAAGTGATGTGGACCCGACATGCTTTCTTTCATAATATATGTCGTAACTGTAAATATTATCAACACAAATGTCACTATTGGAAAGATCAGAGAGCTGCCAATAGTTCATTTAAATTGCCGTAGCCTCTATGCTAATTTTGAACAAATAAAAGAGTATCTGAATAAACTTCATCTGAATGCAGCTGTAATTGCACTGTCGGAAACTTGGATAAAGGAATTTTGAGCTTGAGGATCAAATGTTCAATCGAAGCAGAAAACATAAATCAGGTGGAGTTGCATCGTATTTACACAAAGATTTCAAAGTTAAACTGATAAAATGACAATCGATCACATGTTTGATCTACCGAGCAGCAGCTGCAGATAGTGAAGGTTTTATTGAACATATTGAAAAGATATTCACTTATAGTAATCACAGAGATGTCTTTATTTGCAGAGACTTTAATATCGATTTACTGAAAGCACGCCCCACAGGATCACTGCACACTGCACTTTGCCTTAATCCCACGCCCCACAGGATCACTGCACACTGCACTTTGCCTTAATCCCACGCCCCACAGGATCACTGCACACTGCACTTTGCCTTAATCCCACGCCCCACAGGATCACTGCACACTGCACTTTACCTTAATCCCACGCCCCACAGGATCACTGCACACTGCACATTACCTTAATCCCACGCCCCACAGGATCACTGCACACTGCACTTTACCTTAATCCCACGCCCCACAGGATCACTGCACACTGCACATTACCTTAATCCCACGCCCCACAGGATCACTGCACACTGCACATTACCTTAATCCCACGCCCCACAGGATCACTGCACACTGCACTTTACCTTAATCCCACGCCCCACAGGATCACTGCACACTGCACTTTGCCTTAATCCCACGCCCCACAGGATCACTGCACACTGCACTTTACCTTAATCCCACGCCCCACAGGATCACTGCACTTTACCATAATCCCACGCCCCACAGGATCACTGCACACTGCACTTTGCCTTAATCCCACGCCCCACAGGATCACTGCACACTGCACTTTACCTTAATCCCACGCCCCACAGGATCACTGCACATTGCACATTACCTTAATCCCACGCCCCACAGGATCACTGCACACTGCACTTTACCTTAATCCCACGCCCCACAGGATCACTGCACATTACCTTAATCCCACGCCCCACAGGATCACTGCACACTGCACTTTACCTTAATCCCACGCCCCACAGGATCACTGCACACTGCACTTTGCCTTAATCCCACGCCCCACAGGATCACTGCACACTGCACTTTACCTTAATCCCACGCCCCACAGGATCACTGCACACTGCACTTTGCCTTAATCCCACGCCCCACAGGATCACTGCACACTGCACTTTGCCTTAATCCCACGCCCCACAGGATCACTGCACACTGCACTTTGCCTTAATCCCACGCCCCACAGGATCACTGCACACTGCACTTTGCCTTAATCCCACGCCCCACAGGATCACTGCACTTTACCTTAATCCCACGCCCCACAGGATCACTGCACACTGCACTTTGCCTTAATCCCACGCCCCACAGGATCACTGCACATTACCTTAATCCCACGCCCCACAGGATCACTGCACACTGCACTTTACCTTAATCCCACACCCCACAGGATCACTGCACACTGCACTTTACCTTAATCCCACACCCCACAGGATCACTGCACACTGCACTTTACCTTAATCCCACGCCCCACAGGATCACTGCACACTGCACTTTACCTTAATCCCACGCCCCACAGGATCACTGCACATTACCTTAATCCCACGCCCCACAGGATCACTGCACACTGCACTTTACCTTAATCCCACGCCCCACAGGATCACTGCACACTGCACTTTGCCTTAATCCCACGCCCCACAGGATCACTGCACACTGCACTTTACCTTAATCCCACGCCCCACAGGATCACTGCACACTGCACTTTGCCTTAATCCCACGCCCCACAGGATCACTGCACTTTACCTTAATCCCACGCCCCACAGGATCACTGCACACTGCACTTTGCCTTGGCGGCACGGTGGCTGAGTGGATAGCACTCTCGCCTCTCAGCAAGAAGGTCCTGGGTTCAAATCCCGGCCGGACCAGGGCCTTTCTGAGTGGAGTTTACATGTTCTCCCCGTGTCTGCGTAGGTTTCCTCCGGGTACTCCGGTTTCCCCTACTACTAAAAATATGTACAATAGATCTGGCAAGCTGCCTCCTGTACTGGCCCCGCTCCCATCTCTGTGTGGAGTGAGAGACAAGTGCCCAAAAAATAACAATTGTAAACCGCTTTGTGACTCTGGTCTGTGAAAGGCGGGATTACTTACTTACTTATATAAATACGCCCCAAGATTACTTACTTACTTACTTGCACTTACCTTAATCCCACACCCCACAGGATCACTGCACACCCACCTTAATCCCACGCCCCACAGGATCACTGCACACTGCACTTTACCTTAATCCCACTGGATCACTGCACACTGCACTTTACCTTAATGATCATGCACACTGCACTTTACCTTAATCCCACGCCCCACTCAGGATCACTGCACACTGCACATTACCTTAATCCCACGCCCCACAGGATCACTGCACACTGCACTTTGCCTTAATCCCACGCCCCACAGGATCACTGCACACTGCACTTTACCTTAATCCCATCGCCCCACAGGATCACTGCACACTGCACTTTGCCTTAATCCCACGCCCCACAGGATCACTGCACACTGCACTTTGCCTTAATCTCACGCCCCACAGGATCACTGCACACTGCACTTTACCTTAATCCCACGCCCCACAGGATCACTGCACACTGCACTTTGCTTAATCCCACGCCCCACAGGATCACTGCACACTGCACTTTACCTTAATCCCACGCCCCACAGGATCACTGCACACTGCACTTTACCTTAATCCCACGCCCCACAGGATCACTGCACACTGCACTTTACCTTAATCCCACGCCCCACAGGACCACTGCACACTGCACTTTACCTTAATCCCACGCCCCACAGGATCACTGCACACTGCACTTTGCCTTAATCCCACGCCCCACAGGATCACTGCACACTGCACTTTACCTTGATCCCACGCCCCACAGGATCACTGCACACTGCACTTTACCTTAATCCCACGCCCCACAGGATCACTGCACACTGTGCACTTTACCTTAATCCCACGCCCCACAGGATCACTGCACCACTGCACTTTACCTTAATCCCACGCCCCACAGGATCACTGCACATGCACTTTACTTTAATCCCACGCCCCACAGGATCACTGCACCACTGCACATTACCTTATAATCCCACGCCCCACAGGATCACTGCACACTGCACTTTGCCTTAATCCCACGCCCCACAGGATCACTGCACACTGCACTTTACCTTAATCCCACGCCCCACAGGATCACTGCACACTGCACTTTGCCTTAATCCCACGGCCCCACAGGATCACTGCACACTGCACTTTGCCTTAATCTCACGCCCCACAGGATCACTGCACACTGCACTTTACCTTAATCCCACGCCCCACAGATCACTGCACACTGCACTTTGCCTTAATCCCACGCCCCACAGGATCACTGCACACTGCACTTTACCTTAATCCCACGCCCCACAGGACCAATGCACACTGCACATTACCTTAATCCCACGCCCCACAGGATCACTGCACACTGCACTTTACCTTAATCCCACGCCCCACAGGATCACTGCACTTTGCCTTAATCCCACGCCCCACAGGATCACTGCACACTGCACTTTACCTTAATCCCCACGCCCCACAGGATCACTGCACACTGCACATTACCTTAATCCCACGCCCCACAGGATCACTGCACACTGCACTTTACCTTAATCCCACGCCCCACAGGATCACTGCACACTGCACTTTACCTTAATCCCACGCCCCACAGGATCACTGCACACTGCACTTTGCCTTAATCCCACGCCCCACAGGACCACTGCACACTGCACTTTACCTTAATCCCACGCCCCACAGGATCACTGCACACTGCACTTTACCTTAATCCCACGCCCCACAGGATCACTGCACACTGCACTTTACCTTAATCCCACGCCCCACAGGATCACTGCACACTGCACTTTACCTTAATCCCACGCCCCACAGGATCACTGCACACTGCACTTTACCTTAATCCCACGCCCCACAGGATCACTGCACACTGCACTTTACCTTAATCCCACGCCCCACAGGATCACTGCACACTGCACTTTGCCTTAATCCCACGCCCCACAGGACCACTGCACACTGCACTTTACCTTAATCCCACACCCCACAGGATCACTGCACACTGCACTTTACCTTAATCCCACGCCCCACAGGATCACTGCACACTGCACTTTACCTTAATCCCACGCCCCACAGGATCACTGCACACGGTGCAACATGTGGAATACTGTTTAACTCATCAACATTTGAAGCAGAGTTTGTCAGATCAGGACTGGAATAACTCGGAGAACCAGATGTTAAAGGTCCTATATCAGGCTTTTCTTCATGTTTCACACTCAGTCCTCTGCACATGTGTGATATTAATGTGTGTGATACACCACACAACAATCACATGTGTGATATTAATGTGTGTGATACACCACACAACAATCACATGTGTGATATTAATGTGTATGATACACCACACAACAATCACATGTGTGATATTAATGTGTATGATACACCACACAACAATCACATGTGTGATATTAATGTGTATGATACACCACACAACAATCACATGTGTGATATTAATGTGTGTGATACACCACACAACAATCAAAGCTTGTGAGATTAGAGCCATCTCTTGTTTAGAGGTGACGTCACCTCGACTCAAACGAGCTGATCCAGAGTCTGCTCCCCCCGCCCTCACCCGCCTCCCCCCGCCCTCACCCGCCCTCACCGCGCTCCCCCCCCGCCCTCAACACCGGCCCGCCCTCACCCGCCTCCCCCCGCCCCTCACCCGCCCTCACCCGCCTCCCCCCGCCCTCACGCCCGCCTCCCCCCGCCCTCACCCGCCTCCCCCCACCCTCACCCGCCCTCACCCGCCTCCCCCCGCCCTCACCCGCCTCCCCCCGCCCTCTCACCCGCCTCCCCCCGCCCTCACCCGCCTCCCCCCGCCCTCACCCGCCTCCCCCCGCCCTCACCCGCCTCCCCCCGCCCTCACCCGCCTCCCCCCGCCCTCACCCTCCTCCCCCCGCCCTCACCCGCCCTCACCCGCCTCCCCCCCGCCCTCACCCGCCCTCACCCGCCCTCACCCGCCCTCACCCGCCTCCCCCCGCCCTCACCCGCCCTCCACTCACCCGCCTCCCCCCGCCCTCACCCGCCCTCACCCGCCTCCCCCCGCCCTCACCCGCCCTCACCCGCCTCCCCCCCCCCCGCCCTCACCCGCCTCCCCCCGCCCTCACCCGCCTCCCCCCGCCCTCACCCGCCTCCCCCCGCCCGCACGCTGACGTAGCATCACGCTTTTGTCGTTTATCACCTGTACTTAGCATGGATCTATTATAATAACTGGATAGGGTATTACAGCTTGTAGCTGAATAACTCATGTGCTCGGGGGATTCTCGCGGTACTGCAGACTGAACCAGACTGAACCAGACTAAATTCACGTGGCTACCCAGAAATTTTCCCCATAGAACTCAATGCATATTAAAACAGCTCAACCTCAGCTGACAGAGAACCTGACAGAGAACCTGACAGAGAACCTACAGCTTTAATAAAGGTCAGATTATGTGGGGATTTTAATGTCCCTTGTCATCCTGAACTTTTTTTCTTCTTAAATCCTTCAGTTTTGTTTAAATCCACACTTTAGTGCCACAAACTCTGCTCGTCTGGCTCTGGCTCTAACTCCCGCTCTGATGAACTGCTCTGATTGGTCAGAGCGCGGCCGAGCCCCTCTGTGCACGTGCGTGAGACCCTCTGTGCACGTGCGTGAGACCCTCTGTGCACGTGCGTGAGACCCTCTGTGCACGTGCGTGAGACCCTCTGTGCACGTGCGTGAGACCCTCTGTGCACGTGTGTGAGACCCACACACGCGTGTTTGGCGCAACGCATCATGGGAGATCATCCACTGCACAGAACCAGGAGGACCAGACGATGCCCAAATACAGGAGAGTTTCCATAGACCTTTGAGAGTTTCTCATAGATCTTTGAGAGTTTCTCATAGATCTTTGAGAGTTTCCCATAGATCTTTGAGAGTTTCCCATAGATCTTTGAGAGTTTCCCATAGATCTTTGAGAGTTTCCCATAGATCTTTGAGAGTTTCCCATAGATCTTTGAGAGTTTCCCATAGATCTTTGAGAGTTTCCCATAGATCTTTGAGAGTTTCCCATAGACCTTTGAGAGTTTCCATAGACCTTTGAGAGTTTCTCATAGATCTTTGAGAGTTTCTCATAGATCTTTGAGAGTTTCCCATAGATCTTTGAGAGTTTCCATAGACCTTTGAGAGTTTTCTCATAGATCTTTGAGAGTTTCCATAGATCTTTGAGAGTTTCCCATAGATCTTTGAGAGTTTCCCATAGATCTTTGAGAGTTTCCATAGACCTTTGAGAGTTTCTCATAGATCTTTGAGAGTTTCCATAGATCTTTGAGAGTTTCCCATAGATCTTTGAGAGTTTCCCATAGATCTTTGAGAGTTTCTCATAGATCTTTGAGAGTTTCCATAGATCTTTGAGAGTTTCCCATAGATCTTTGAGAGTTTCCCATAGATCTTTGAGAGTTTCCCATAGATCTTTGAGAGTTTCTCATAGATCTTTGAGAGTTTCCCATAGATCTTTGAGAGTTTCCCATAGATCTTTGAGAGTTTCCCATAGATCTTTGCGAGTTTCAGGCAACTTCCGCTAATCTTTTCAGCCCCCATGCCGTCACAAAGCGCCACTGAGCACAACCATTCATTTGAATAGGGCGCCATCTTGGATCGCCGGGGCTTGGTACTTAGTCATTTCATACATAAGAATAAACTTTTTCCAACAATGACAATCCGTCACATCGAGCCCTATGTCCTCGATGCACAATCAGACCCTAGTTATTTAGTTTACAGAAGTATACAGCGAGTTAGCGTCACTACTTACAGATCGAGGGGGTCCGAGTTACGTCTTTTACCGTGGGAATAACGTGTTTCCACATCAGCTTTAGAGTAAGTCCAGTTCCATTGTCCCTGTAGTTCTGGAACAGTCTCAGTGAAGTGTCGCAGATGAACCGGTTTATAATAGATCCATGAGATGAACAGATGAAAAAAGTCGAGCCGCTTTCTTCCTCTTAGGGCCAAATAGTGTGTCACATATTTACACCCATAACACACTTCATTCAAGTTGACGTGATCCTAACACTTTTAGTCGCTGACAAAAGCATAAAAACAGCAGCTCTATGGTGTCCGCGAGACCAGACCACAGACGCTGGACTCGGGAGCCGGAGCGCTCTGATTCGCTGTTTTGATCCGTCAATCACCTCCCGCCGGCTTTTTAATTTATTTTTATTTTTATTATTTTTGACAAAAAACAGCATACTAATTGTGTATTGTTTACCCCGTTTTGACAAAAGTATTTAACAACTATTTTAAATACAAAGCAAACGGGGTCATGCGCGTCATCAGTGTGGTTTTCGTCACTGAAGTGGACCCGAGCGTTTCTGTGCCTCACGCTGGGGAAGGACACAGATTGTTCTCTTACAAAAGATTGACAGAATCAATGAATAAACTACTGTGGGCTTGTGTATGAGGCCAAATAGCTGTAATCATGTTTAAAGCAGAGAAAAGTCAAAAACCCTGATATGGGCCCTTTAATGATGCATATACACAGTTTGTTAACACAAACATCTGATCCACATTGTCCTGTTGGAACGCAAAAAACACACACAGACACACACAGACACACACAATCATCTGATCCACATTGTCCTGTTGGAACGCACAAACACACACAGACACACACAGACACACACAATCATCTGATCCACATTGTCCTGTTGGAACGCACAAACACACACAGACACACACAGACACACACAATCATCTGATCCACATTGTCCTGTTGGAACGCACAAACACACACAGACACACACAATCATCTGATCCACATTGTCCTGTTGGAACGCACAAACACACACAGACACACACAATCATCTGATCCACATTGTCCTGTTGGAACGCACAAACACACACAAACACACACAGACACACACAAACATCTGATCCACATTGTCCTGTTGGAACGCACAAACACACACAGACACACACAGACACACACAATCATCTGATCCACATTGTCCTGTTGGAACGCACAAACACACAAACACACACAGACACACACAGACACACACAATCATCTGATCCACATTGTCCTGTTGGAACGCACAAACACACACAAACACACACAAACACACACAGACACACACAATCATCTGATCCACATTGTCCTGTTGGAACGCACAAACACACACAAACACACACAGACACACACAATCATCTGATCCACATTGTCCTGTTGGAACGCACAAACACACAAACACACACAGACACACACAGACACACACAATCATCTGATCCACATTGTCCTGTTGGAACGCACAAACACACACAAACACACACAAACACACACAGACACACACAATCATCTGATCCACATTGTCCTGTTGGAACGCACAAACACACACAAACACACACAGACACACACAATCATCTGATCCACATTGTCCTGTTGGAACGCACAAACACACACAAACACACACAGACACACACAATCATCTGATCCACATTGTCCTGTTGGAACGCACAAACACACACAAACACACACAGACACACACAAACATCTGATCCACATTGTCCTGTTGGAACGCACAAACACACACAGACAAACACAGACACACACAGACACACACAGACACACACAAACACACACAGACACACACAAACATCTGATCCACATTGTCCTGTTGGAACGCACAAACACACACAGACAAACACAGACACACACAGACACACACAAACACACACAGACACACACAGACACACACAGACACACACAAACAAACACAGACACACACAGACACACACAGATGTGTCCCATGGATGACAAAGGGGTTATCGAACACATGTAAAAAGAACAACTTCTTATATAAAACATTTATAAAAAAGAGAACATTGGAAACAGAAACAAAATATAAAAGATATAAGAATAAATTAACAAGTATAATAATAAACTGTAAAAGAAATGACTATAGAAATATGATAGATTAAACACGGAGAAAGCCGGTCTCCCAGATTACATGATGATAAACAATCCCAGATTACTTTAAATTTGTGTAAGCCCTCAGTCGTACAGGGATTAGTCAAAGCAAAGGAAGGTTTCTCACCCATCATCTGTACTTCTTAGCAAGTTTTCCCGACGTTTCGTCCTCAAACTAGCGGACTTCTTCAGGGAATGAATTCTCAGACCGCGCGTTGGAGATTTATAACCTATGGGTGTGGTTAGCCACGCCCTAATCCTGATACTAACTCATAAACAATCTAAGGTCTGATGTAGAAGGGAGCAGATCTAACGACCCTGCTGAGGCTAACGACCCTAACTCCTTAGCATGTCACTGACCTATTGTCTGCTGGGATGCTCAAGTGGAGTGCAGGTCTCACCCCTCCTAACTCATTAGCATGTCACTGACCTATTGTCTGCTGGGATGCTCAAGTGGAGTGCAGGTCTCACCCCTCCTAACTCATTAGCATGTCACTGACCTATTGTCTGCTGGGATGCTCAAGTGGAGTGCAGGTCTCACCCTCCTAACTCATTAGCATGTCACTGACCTATTGTCTGCTGGGATGCTCAAGTGGAGTGCAGGTCTCACCCCTCCTAACTCATTAGCATGTCACTGACCTATTGTCTGCTGGGATGCTCAAGTGGAGTGCAGGTCTCACCCCTCCTAACTCATTAGCATGTCACTGACCTATTGTCTGCTGGGATGCTCAAGTGGAGTGCAGGTCTCACCCCTCCTAACTCATTAGCATGTCACAGACCTATTGTCTGCTGGGATGCTCAAGTGGAGTGCAGGTCTCACCCTCCTAACTCATTAGCATGTCACTGACCTATTGTCTGCTGGGATGCTCAAGTGGAGTGCAGGTCTCACCCCTCCTAACTCATTAGCATGTCACAGACCTATTGTCTGCTGGGATGCTCAAGTGGAGTGCAGGTCTCACCCCTCCTAACTCATTAGCATGTCACTGACCTATTGTCTGCTGGGATGCTCAAGTGGAGTGCAGGTCTCACCCCTCCTAACTCCTTAGCATGTCACAGACCTATTGTCTGCTGGGATGCTCAAGTGGAGTGCAGGTCTCACCCCTCCTAACTCATTAGCATGTCACTGACCTATTGTCTGCTGGGATGCTCAAGTGGAGTGCAGGTCTCACCCTCCTAACTCATTAGCATGTCACTGACCTATTGTCTGCTGGGATGCTCAAGTGGAGTGCAGGTCTCACCCTCCTAACCCATTAGCATGTCACTGACCTTGTCCCAAGTTAGGCCGTTGTTTTTAGGATGTCGTCATAGATGCGAGGCAAAACAAATCTTAACCCTCCTCCTCTGTTAAGAGAAGCTTTTTGTTTCCTCACAAAAATGGCTTCTTTCACTCCTCCTACTTTCTTCTGTCTGTTGGACTGTGTCTCTGGCCTTTCTCGTCCTTTGGGCTTTAGTAAAAGACCACTTGGGGTAGCCACATCTGGAAAGTGCTCTCTGAACATGTTTGGTTTCTCTGTTCTTTCCCTCCGAGCTAGTGGGGACCTGGTGGGCTCGGTGTTGAAGCGTTCTAATGACCCCGAGTTTGTGTTGTAGCGGATGGTTTGAGTCAAAGGCCAGGTACTGGTCAGTGTGAGTGGACTTTCTGAAGACCTCAGTCTCTAATTGTCCGTTCTCCAGTATGATGACCTTACAATCTAGAAAGGCCAGTTCACTCTCCTTAGCATCCTCGCGAGTGAAATTTATAAAAGGGTCCACCGAATGAATGTGTTCTGAAAATGGTTCCACTTCCTGTTTCTTTAACTTAACCCATGTATCGTCTACATATCAAACCAATGGCTTGGCGCTGTCCCTTGGTAAGAGCCCAGGGCTTGTTCCTCCAGTTTCTCCATATACAGATTGGCCACTATAGGAGAGACTGGGGAGCCCATCGCACAGCCATGAATCTGTCTAAAGAAGGTGCCTCTAAATTGGAAATACGTGGTGTTAAGACACATTTCAAGTATTTCACAGATGTGGTCAGCTGTTAGTTTCGTTCTCTCCCCTAGTGTGGCGTCTTTCTGTAGGCTTTCTCTTACAGAATCTCTCGCATCTATGACGACATCCTAAAAACAACGCCCTAACTTGGGACAAGGTCAGTGACATGCTAATGAGTTAGGGTCGTTAGCCTCAGCAGGGTCGTTAGACCTGCTCCCTTCTACATCAGACCTTAGATTGTTTATGAGTTAGTATCAGCATAGGTTATAAATCTCCAACGCGCGGTCCGAGAATTCATTCCCTGAAGAAGTCCGCTAGTTTGAGGACGAAACGTCGGGAAAACTTGCTAAGAAGAACAGATGATGGGTGAGAAACCTTCCTTTGCTTCAATCCCAGATTACATGATGATAAACAATCCCAGATTACATGATGATAAACAATCCCAGATTACATGATGGTAAACAATCCCAGATTACATGATGGTAAACAATCCCAGATTACATGATGGTAAACAATCCCAGATTACATGATGGTAAACAATCCCAGATTACATGATGATAAACAATCCCAGATTACATGATGATAAACAATCCCAGATTACATGATGATAAACAATCCCAGATTACATGATGATAAACAATCCCAGATTACATGATGGTAAACAATCCCATATTACATGATGGTAAACAATCCCAGATTACATGATGGTAAACAATCCCAGATTACACTTTCTCACTGCAGCGGATGAAAATGAAATAATCAAAATCGTTCAAGAGTAAAACATCTGATTAAAACAACTTTGATCAAAAGAGTAATACAAAGCATTTCTTTGTAACTTATCCTTTTCAACCGGAGAATTCCCAGACCTCATGAAGATTGCCAAGGTCGTTCCAAGGTCGTTCCAAGGTCGTTCCAAGGTCGTTCCAAGGTCGTTCCAAGGTTGCCGCCCGCTTGGACAGCTTTGTGAATGAACATAACTTACTCAGTGACAGGTTCAGAAACAACAGGTCTACGGCACATGCTTTAATCAATCCAATCGAAGAACAACAACATTGACAATAAACTGTACTGTTTGGGAATATTCATAGACCTCCAGAAAGCCTTTGACACTATAGATCATGAAATTCTCTTAAGTAAACTTAATAATAATGGGAATAGAGGGGTGGCTAACAATTGGCTGAAGTCATATTTGACTGAAAGACAGCAGTACGTCCAAATGAATGAACATGTGACAGGACAGAAGAACATGCGGAGTCCCCCAGGGGTCGATATTAGGTCCTACATTGTTCTTATAAATATATATAAATGATCTGTGCAAAGTCCCAACAAAGTTTAAATTGATTTTATTTGCAGACGACACAACAATTCTTGCTTCTAGCAAAGATCTCCAAGTGCTTGTCTCAGAGGTCACAACAGAATTATACAAACTGAAAGAACGGTTCAGTAGAAATAAACTATCGCTGAACATATTAAAAACAAAAATTATTTTATTTGTTAAATGAAACAGTGATATTAAAATTCAAATCAATATTGATAATGGTCAAATTGAACAAGTCAAGGAATATACATTTCTGGGTGTGATGTTCAGTCATAAGGCTAGCTGAAGACCACAAATAGACAGCATTCGAGGGAAAATGGCAAAAATGTGGCGATAATGGGCAAATGTCGATTTTTTCTGGACCAAAAGGCTCTCTTCACCCTGTACTGTTCCTTAATCCTACCGTACATAAACTATTGCTCAGAGGTCTGGGGAAATACCTTCAGTAGTCACTTACAGGTTTTATATAGACTCCAAAAGAAGGCCATTAGAATCGTTCATAATGTCGGTTATATACACAAATATACGGTCCTTAGAATCAAACACCATGAAATGTGATGATCTCATAAAACATAACACTCTGTTACAGGTAAATAAAGCTGTAAACAACCAGCTGCAACATGCAACAAATGTTTAGTAAAAGACCTCAGAGGCACTCACAACCTCAAAGTTCAAAGTGTTCACTCTTCCTACTCCATCCATCCATCCATCCATGTTCTTCCCTTTAATCCATTTCTGGGTCAGGGGGGTGGCAGTCTCATAGCACCAGCCCCTCACTGACCCTCTGCAGGTGGTGAGTCCACAGGAGGACTTCCTACTCACAGAGGTGTAAATCTGTGGAATAATCTGGAGGAACCCTTAAAAGACGTTGGTTGTTTACAGCTATTCACAAAACGATTCAAGAGAAGTGTGTTTGAGAAATATGCTAAAGACATGTGACTTGTTAGGTTATTATTGTGAATCAGTTTAACCACGTCATTGCCGATAGAACCAGTGTCACCACAGCACAGGCCTTAGAACCTTACTAATAGTTAGGGCAGCGGGGGCAGCGGGGTGTGGCTAACTGATGGGGGGTCCCTGCCCTCTGCCCGGACACTTCACACCCAGCTTTTTAATGCATCTCACTTAATAAGGCAAACAACACAAATAATTCTGCAGCCACAAACAATATTTTATAGTGAATTGGGAATGACGACAAGCAGACATTCAACAAAAATAATGGGTAGTGTGAATAAAATTATTACGGTAATGGGACTTATAATCATGATAATGTGTGGTCGAGAATGAAAATTATGACAAATGTAATGCAAATAATAATGAAATCATGATCAGTCAATAGAATGGTGATCGGTGTTCTTAGGTACTGATGGTATATGGTTTTCATATGAACGAAAAAACAACAAAAGCACTAATAATAATAATAATGATTATCTTACTTTGGAAGTCGTGTGAAAATCTTGTGATTTATTTTATAACATTAATGCTTTTCTAATCAAAGCTGACACTTGTTAGAGGGCCTCATGCACCCTCTGAGTGCATGTGCCTGGGCCTCATGCACCCTCTGATGTACCTGGGCCTCATGCACCCTCTGAGTGCATGTGCCTGGGCCTCATGCACCCTCTGATGTACCTGGGCCTCATGCACCCTCTGAGTGCATGTGCCTGGGCCTCATGCACCCTCTGATGTGCATGTGCCTGGGCCTCATGAACCCTCTGAGTGCATGTGCCTGGGCCTCATGCACCCTCTGAGTGCATGTGCGTTCTTTGTGCGTCCACAGCTCAACAATCACATGATGTCGACAGCTACAGCAGAAGAGCTACACTACGCTAGCATCAACTTCTCCGCCATCGCCACGGCAACGGCGAGACCGAACCAGGAAGTCACCACCAAGACCGAGTACGCAGAGATCAAGAGAGAGACCGTCCAACAGAGGCCAGTTGTAGATGAAGAAGAGGAGGGGAAGATGGAGGAGGTGGCGGCCATGACAGAGGACCAGGAGGAGAAGGACCAGCAGGAGAAGGACCAGGAGGAGGAGGAGGCGTCGGTCTACTGCAACGTGGAGGAGATAATGTCTGAGTGATGAGAGTGGGTTCTGGACTGTGATGGGTTCTTTCCCACACACAGGGCTGGGTCAGAACCAGTGGGGCCGGGTTTGCAGTACCACCCCGGGCCTGTGGGGGTGGACCCAGAAGTAGAGTTAGCCAATGCTAACATATAGCGTTAGCAGACCTCTGGAAAACGTCTTTACAGGATGGTCCAAAAGTGTCTCTTTGCCCAAAGCTCCGTTCCACATGTGTGTCAATGCTGAGTGTTCTGGACCAGTCTAGTTTAGTCGCTGTGGACTTTAGAAGTCTCTGTTTAATTGAATGGAGCTCTCGCAGCTGACGCATGCACAGTTTTTTCACAATTTTCTTGTGGGCGGGACCACTCGCTCCAGTAGAGCACATTTTTTGGCCCATTAGTGAGAACGGCCCAGATAGGTCTGGCTCTGTCCGTTCATATTTACAGTCTATGGATCTCTCTCTGATCCCTGTGCTCTCTGATCCCTGTGCTCTCTGATCCCTGTGCTCTCTGATCCCTGTGCTCTCTGAGCCCTGTGCTCTCTGATCCCTGTGCTCTCTGAGCCCTGTGCTCTCTGATCCCTGTGCTCTCTGATCCCTGTGCTCTCTGATCCCTGTGCTCTCTGATCCCTGTGCTCTCTGAGCCCTGTGCTCTCTGATCCCTGTGCTCTCTGATCCCTGTGCTCTCTGATCCCTGTGCTCTCTGAGCCCTGTGCTCTCTGATCCCTGTGCTCTCTGAGCCCTGTGCTCTCTGATCCCTGTGCTCTCTGATCCCTGTGCTCTCTGATCCCTGTGCTCTCTGAGCCCTGTGCTCTCTGATCCCTGTGCTCTCTGAGCCCTGTGCTCTCTGATCCCTGTGCTCTCTGATCCCTGTGCTCTCTGATCCCTGTGCTCTCTGATCCCTGTGCTCTCTGATCCCTGTGCTCTCTGAGCCCTGTGCTCTCTGAGCCCTGTGCTCTCTGATCCCTGTGCTCTCTGATCCCTGTGCTCTCTGAGCCCTGTGCTCTCTGAGCCCTGTGCTCTCTGATCCCTGTGCTCTCTGATCCCTGTGCTCTCTGAGCCCTGTGCTCTCTGATCCCTGTGCTCTCTGAGCCCTGTGCTCTCTGATCCCTGTGCTCTCTGAGCCCTGTGCTCTCTGAGCCCTGTGCTCTCTGATCCCTGTGCTCTCTGATCCCTGTGCTCTCTGAGCCCTGTGCTCTCTGATCCCTGTGCTCTCTGAGCCCTGTGCTCTCTGAGCCCTGTGCTCTCTGAGCCCTGTGCTCTCTGATCCCTGTGCTCTCTGAGCCCTGTGCTCTCTGAGCCCTGTGCTCTCTGATCCCTGTGCTCTCTGATCCCTGTGCTCTCTGATCCCTGTGCTCTCTGATCCCTGTGCTCTCTGATCCCTGTGCTCTCTGAGCCCTGTGCTCTCTGAGCCCTGTGCTCTCTGATCCCTGTGCTCTCTGATCCCTGTGCTCTCTGATCCCTGTGCTCTCTGATCCCTGTGCTCTCTGAGCCCTGTGCTCTCTGATCCCTGTGCTCTCTGATCCCTGTGCTCTCTGATCCCTGTGCTCTCTGATCCCTGTGCTCTCTGATCCCTGTGCTCTCTGATCCCTGTGCTCTCTGATCCCTGTGCTCTCTGATCCCTGTGCTCTCTGAGCCCTGTGCTCTCTGATCCCTGTGCTCTCTGATCCCTGTGCTCTCTGATCCCTGTGCTCTCTGATCCCTGTGCTCTCTGATCCCTGTGCTCTCTGATCCCTGTGCTCTCTGATCCCTGTGCTCTCTGATCCCTGTGCTCTCTGAGCCCTGTGCTCTCTGAGCCCTGTGCTCTCTGATCCCTGTGCTCTCTGAGCCCTGTGCTCTCTGATCCCTGTGCTCTCTGAGCCCTGTGCTCTCTGATCCCTGTGCTCTCTGAGCCCTGTGCTCTCTGATCCCTGTGCTCTCTGATCCCTGTGCTCTCTGATCCCTGTGCTCTCTGATCCCTGTGCTCTCTGAGCCCTGTGCTCTCTGATCCCTGTGCTCTCTGATCCCTGTGCTCTCTGAGCCCTGTGCTCTCTGATCCCTGTGCTCTCTGAGCCCTGTGCTCTCTGATCCCTGTGCTCTCTGATCCCTGTGCTCTCTGAGCCCTGTGCTCTCTGATCCCTGTGCTCTCTGAGCCCTGTGCTCTCTGATCCCTGTGCTCTCTGAGCCCTGTGCTCTCTGATCCCTGTGCTCTCTGATCCCTGTGCTCTCTGATCCCTGTGCTCTCTGATCCCTGTGCTCTCTGAGCCCTGTGCTCTCTGATCCCTGTGCTCTCTGATCCCTGTGCTCTCTGATCCCTGTGCTCTCTGAGCCCTGTGCTCTCTGATCCCTGTGCTCTCTGATCCCTGTGCTCTCTGAGCCCTGTGCTCTCTGATCCCTGTGCTCTCTGAGCCCTGTGCTCTCTGATCCCTGTGCTCTCTGATCCCTGTGCTCTCTGATCCCTGTGCTCTCTGAGCCCTGTGCTCTCTGATCCCTGTGCTCTCTGAGCCCTGTGCTCTCTGATCCCTGTGCTCTCTGATCCCTGTGCTCTCTGAGCCCTGTGCTCTCTGATCCCTGTGCTCTCTGAGCCCTGTGCTCTCTGATCCCTGTGCTCTCTGAGCCCTGTGCTCTCTGAGCCCTGTGCTCTCTGATCCCTGTGCTCTCTGATCCCTGTGCTCTCTGAGCCCTGTGCTCTCTGAGCCCTGTGCTCTCTGATCCCTGTGCTCTCTGATCCCTGTGCTCTCTGATCCCTGTGCTCTCTGAGCCCTGTGCTCTCTGATCCCTGTGCTCTCTGATCCCTGTGCTCTCTGAGCCCTGTGCTCTCTGATCCCTGTGCTCTCTGAGCCCTGTGCTCTCTGATCCCTGTGCTCTCTGATCCCTGTGCTCTCTGAGCCCTGTGCTCTCTGATCCCTGTGCTCTCTGATCCCTGTGCTCTCTGATCCCTGTGCTCTCTGAGCCCTGTGCTCTCTGATCCCTGTGCTCTCTGATCCCTGTGCTCTCTGATCCCTGTGCTCTCTGAGCCCTGTGCTCTCTGATCCCTGTGCTCTCTGATCCCTGTGCTCTCTGAGCCCTGTGCTCTCTGATCCCTGTGCTCTCTGAGCCCTGTGCTCTCTGATCCCTGTGCTCTCTGATCCCTGTGCTCTCTGATCCCTGTGCTCTCTGATCCCTGTGCTCTCTGAGCCCTGTGCTCTCTGATCCCTGTGCTCTCTGATCCCTGTGCTCTCTGAGCCCTGTGCTCTCTGATCCCTGTGCTCTCTGAGCCCTGTGCTCTCTGATCCCTGTGCTCTCTGAGCCCTGTGCTCTCTGAGCCCTGTGCTCTCTGATCCCTGTGCTCTCTGATCCCTGTGCTCTCTGATCCCTGTGCTCTCTGATCCCTGTGCTCTCTGATCCCTGTGCTCTCTGATCCCTGTGCTCTCTGTTTTGTTTTTGTTAAATACATATTTTTTAACCAATAAAAAGCTTGTTCTTACTTGTGTTTTGTTTCGTAAAATACAAAAGGTTTGACCGGTGACAATTTCAATCAAAGTTGGCTGGATGATTAAAACTGAAGATTTTAAAATCAAACCCTTTTCAAACCACAGTCTACATGTTTATTCTCATGTGTTAGCACAGGTACCATCTCCTGGTCTTACTGGTGTTAGCACAGGTACCATCTCCTGGTCTTACTGGTGTTAGCACAGGTACCATCTCCTTGGTCTTGCTGGTGTTAGCACAGGTACCATCTCCTTGGTCTTACTGGTGTTAGCACAGGTACCATCTCCTTGGTCTTACTGGTGTTAGCACAGGTACCATCTCCTTGGTCTTAGTGGTGTTAGCACAGGTACCATCTCCTTGGTCTTAGTGGTGTTAGCACAGGTACCATCTCCTTGGTCTTGCTGGTGTTAGCACAGGTACCATCTCCTGGTCTTACTGGTGTTAGCACAGGTACCATCTCCTTGGTCTTAGTGGTGTTAGCACAGGTACCATCTCCTTGGTCTTACTGGTGTTAGCACAGGTACCATCTCCTTGGTCTTACTGGTGTTAGCACAGGTACCATCTCCTTGGTCTTACTGGTGTCAGCACAGGTACCATCTCCTTGGTCTTGCTGGTGTTAGCACAGGTACCATCTCCTGGTCTTACTGGTGTTAGCACAGGTACCATCTCCTTGGTCTTAGTGGTGTTAGCACAGGTACAATCTCCTTGGTCTTGCTGGTGTTAGCACAGGTACCATCTCCTTGGTCTTACTGGTGTTAGCACAGGTACCATCTCCTTGGTCTTACTGGTGTTAGCACAGGTACCATCTCCTGGGTCTTAGTGGTGTTAGCACAGGTACCATCTCCTTGGTCTTAGTGGTGTTAGCACAGGTACCATCTCCTTGGTCTTACTGGTGTTAGCACAGGTACCATCTCCTTGGTCTTACTGGTGCAGCACAGGTACCATCTCCTGGGTCTTACTGGTGTTAGCACAGGTACCATCTCCTGGTCTTACTGGTGTTAGCACAGGTACCATCTCCTGGTCTTACTGGTGTTAGCACAGGTACCATCTCCTTGGTCTTACTGGTGTTAGCACAGGTACCATCTCCTTGATCTTAGTGGTGTTAGCACAGGTACCATCTCCTTGGTCTTACTGGTGTTAGCACAGGTACCATCTCCTGGTCTTACTGGTGTTAGCACAGGTACCATCTCCTTGGTCTTACTGGTGTTAGCATAGGTACCATCTCCTTGGTCTTGCTGGTGTTAGCACAGGTACCATCTCCTTGGTCTTACTGGTGTTAGCATAGGTACCATCTCCTTGGTCTTACTGGTGTTAGCACAGGTACCATCTCCTTGGTCTTACTGGTGTTAGCACAGGTACCATCTCCTTGGTCTTACTGGTGTTAGCATAGGTACCATCTCCTTGGTCTTACTGGTGTTAGCATAGGTACCATCTCCTTGGTCTTACTGGTGTTAGCACAGGTACCATCTCCTTGGTCTTACTGGTGTTAGCACAGGTACCATGTTCTTGGTCTTACTGGTGTTAGCACAGGTACCATCTCCTTGGTCTTACTGGTGTTAGCACAGGTACCATGTTCTTGGTCTTACTGGTGTTAGCACAGGTACCATCTCCTTGGTCTTACTGGTGTTAGCACAGGTACCATCTCCTGGTCTTACTGGTGTTAGCACAGGTACCATCTCCTGGTCTCCAGCTAGTTCCCTCAGACCCACATAGTCCACACTAACCATGTGTGTGATGTGTGTACGTGTGTGTGATGTGTGTATTAGTGTGCGTGTGTGATGTGTGTAATAATGTGCGTGTGTGTGTGTGTGTGATGTGTGTAATAATGTGTGTGTGTGATGTGTGTATTAGTGTGCGTGTGTGTGATGTGTGTATTAGTGTGCGTGTGGTGTGTGTTTGTGATGTGTGTATTAGTGTGTGTGTGTGATGTGTGTATTAGTGTGCGTGTGTGTGATGTGTGTATTAGTGTGCGTGTGTGATGTGTGTATTAGTGTGCGTGTGTGTGATGTGTGTATTAGTGTGTGTGTGTGATGTGTGTATTAGTGTGTGTGTGTGATGTGTGTATTAGTGTGCGTGTGTGTGATGTGTGTATTAGTGTGCGTGTGGTGTGTGTTTGTGATGTGTGTATTAGTGTGCGTGTGGTGTGTGTTTGTGATGTGTGTTTTAGTGTGCGTGTGTGTGATGTGTGTATTAGTGTGTGTGTGGTGTGTGTTTGTGATGTGTGTATTAGTGTGCGTGTGTGTGATGTGTGTATTAGTGTGTGTGTGGTGTGTGTTTGTGATGTGTGTATTAGTGTGCGTGTGTGTGATGTGTGTATTAGTGTGTGTGTGTGATGTGTGTATTAGTGTGTGTGTGTGATGTGTGTATTAGTGTGCGTGTGTGTGATGTGTGTATTAGTGTGTGTGTGGTGTGTGTTTGTGATGTGTGTATTAGTGTGCGTGTGTGTGATGTGTGTATTAGTGTGTGTGTGTGATGTGTGTATTAGTGTGCGTGTGTGTGATGTGTGTATTAGTGTGTGATGTGTGTAATAGTGTGTGTGTGTGTGTATTGTGTGTATTAGTGTGCGTGTGTGATGTGTGTAATAGTGTGTGTGTGTGATGTGTGTATTAGTGTGCGTGTGTGTGATGTGTGTATTAGTGTGCGTGTGGTGTGTGTTTGTGATGTGTGTTTTAGTGTGCGTGTGTGTGATGTGTGTATTAGTGTGTGTGTGGTGTGTGTGTTTGTGATGTGTGTATTAGTGTGCGTGTGTGTGATGTGTGTATTAGTGTGTGTGTGGTGTGTGTTTGTGATGTGTGTATTAGTGTGCGTGTGTGTGATGTGTGTATTAGTGTGTGTGTGTGATGTGTGTATTAGTGTGTGTGTGTGATGTGTGTATTAGTGTGTGTGTGTGATGTGTGTATTAGTGTGTGTGTGTGATGTGTGTATTAGTGTGCGTGTGTGTGATGTGTGTATTAGTGTGTGTGTGGTGTGTGTTTGTGATGTGTGTATTAGTGTGCGTGTGTGTGATGTGTGTATTAGTGTGTGTGTGTGATGTGTGTATTAGTGTGCGTGTGTGTGATGTGTGATGTGTGTATTAGTGTGTGATGTGTGTAATAGTGTGTGTGTGTGTATTGTGTGTATTAGTGTGCGTGTGTGGTGTGTATGTGTGTGATGTGTGTAATAGTGTGTGTGTGTGATGTGTGTATTAGTGTGCGTGTGTGTGATGTGTGTAATAGTGTGTGTGTGTGTATTGTGTGTATTAGTGTGCGTGTGTGGTGTGTGTGTGATGTGTGTAATAGTGTGTGTGTGTGTGATGTGTGTAATAGTGTGTGTGTGTGTGTATTAGTGTGTGTGTTTCACAATGCAGTCCACACAGAGTGAAAGCTGGGCTTGTGTTGACGCTGCACTTCTCTGCTTCACTGAAGGTAAGACGTCTCTGTGACCTCAGGTACAATACACTCAGATCATAGGTACAATACACTCAGATCATAGGTACAATACACCCAGATCATAGGTACAATACACTCAGATCATAGGTACAATACACTCAGATCATAGGTACAATACACCCAGATCATAGGTACAATACACTCAGATCATAGGTACAATACACTCAGATCACAGGTACAATACACCCAGATCATAGGTACAATACACTCAGATCATAGGTACAACACCCAGATCATAGGTACAATACACTCAGATCATAGGTACAATACACTCAGATCATAGGTACAATACACTCAGATCATAGGTACAATACACTCAGATCATAGGTACAATACACTCAGATCATAGGTACAATACACTCAGATCATAGGTACAATACACCCAGATCATAGGTACAATACACTCAGATCATAGGTACAATACACTCAGATCACAGGTACAATACACCCAGATCATAGGTACAATACACTCAGATCATAGGTACAACACCCAGATCATAGGTACAATACACTCAGATCATAGGTACAATACACTCAGATCATAGGTACAATACACTCAGATCATAGGTACAATACACTCAGATCATAGGTACAATACACTCAGATCATAGGTACAATACACCCAGATCATAGGTACAATACATCAGACACAATCAGATCATAGGTACAATACACTCAGATCACATACCAGGTACAATACACCCAGATCATAGGTACAATACACTCAGATCATAGGTACAATACACAATCAGATCATAGGTACAAACCAGATCAATACACCCAGATCATAGGTACTCATCATATACACTCAGATCATAGGTACAATACACTCAGATCATAGGTACAATACACTCAGATCATAGGTACAATACACCCAGATCATAGGTACACTCAGATCATAGGTACAATACACTCAGATCATAGGTACATACACCCAATCATAGGTACAATACATCAGATCATAGGTACAATACATCAGATCATAGGTTCAAGAACACTCAGAGCATATACACATCGATCATAGGTACAATACACTCAGATCATAGGTACAATACTAATATCAAGTACAATACACTCAGACTAGGTACATACACCAGATCATAGGTACAATACACTCAAGATCATAGGTACAATACTCACTAGATCATTAGGTACAATACACCAGATCATAGGTACAATCCACTCAGATCATAGGGTACAAATACACTCAGATCATAGGTACAATACACAGTATTCATAGGTACAATACACTCAGATCATAGTACAATTCACTCAGATCACAGTGAAATACATCAGATCATAGGTACACATCCCAGATCATAGGTACTAATACACTCAGATCATAGGTACAATACACCAGATCATATGGTACAATACACCAGATCATAGGTACAATACACTCAGATCACCAGGTACAATCACCCAGATCATAGGTACAATACACTCAGATCATAGGTACAAATACACTCAGATCATAGTACAATACACTCAGATCACTAGGTACTATACACTCAGATCATAGGTACAATACACCCAGATCATAGGTACAATACACTCAGATCATAGGTACAATACACTCAGATCAAGGTACAATACACCCAGATCATAGGTACAATTCACTCAGATCATAGGTACAATACACCAGATCATAGGTACAATACACCCAGATCATAGGTACAACACCAGATCATAGGTACAATACACATCAGATCATAGGTACAATACACTCAGATCATAGGTACAATACACTACCGACTCATAGGTACAATACACTCAGATCACAGGTACAATACACTCAGATATAGGTACAATGCACTCAGATCATAGGTACAATACACTCAGATCATAGGTAATACACTCAGATCACAGGTACAATACACTTCAGATCATAGGTAAATACACTCAGATCATAGGTACAATGCAACCAGATCATAGGTACAATACACTCAGATCACAGGTACAATACACTCAGGATCATAGGTACAATACCACTCAGATCACAGGTACAAATACACTCAGACCCTCAGGTACAACACCCTGAGACCTCAGGTACAACACCCAGACGACTCATGGTACAAACAGCGATTCAAAGTGAGAGAGAGTGTTTACAAATAGTTTGTTGGTGACTAATAAGACTAATAAGATTATCAAAGGTACCGTACAGAGAGCAGCTTCATGGATGATCAAAGGTACCGTACAGAGAGCAGCTTCATGGATGATCAAAGGTACCGTACAGAGAACAGCTTCATGAAAATGATCACAGGTACGTACAGAGAGCAGCTTCATGGATGATCAAAGGTACCGTACAGAGGCAGCTTCATGGATGATCAAAGGTACCGTACAGAGAGCAGCTTCATGGATGATCAAAGGTACCGTACAGAGAGCAGCTTCATGGATGATCACAGGTACCGTACAGTGAGCAGCTTCATGGATGATCAAAGGTACCGTACAGAGAGCAGCTTCATGGATGATCAAAGGTCCGTACAGAGAGCAGCTTCATGGATGATCACAGGTACCGTACAGAGAGCAGCTTCATGGATGATCAAAGGTACCGTACCAGAGAGCAGCTTCATGGATGATCAAAGGTACCGTACAGAGAGCAAAGGCTTCATGGATTATCAAAGTACCGTACAGAGAGCAGCTTCATGGATGATCAAAGGTACCGTACAGAGAGAAGCTTCATGGATGATCAAGGTACCGTACAGAGAGCAGCTTCATGGATGATCAAAGGTACCGTACAGAGAGCAGCTTCATGGATGATCAAAGGTACGTACAGAGAACAGCTTCATGAATGATCAAAGGTACCGTACAGAGAGCAGCTTCATGGATGATCAAGTACCCGTACAAGAGCAGCTTCATGGATGATCAAAGGTACCGTACAGAGAGCAGCTTCATGGATGATCAAAGGTACCGTACAGAGAACAGCTTCATGAATGATCACAGGTACCGTACAGAGAGCAGCTTCATGGATGATCACAGGTACCGTACAGAGAGCAGCTTCATGGATGATCACAGGTACCGTACAGAGAGCAGCTTCATGGATGATCACAGGTACGTACAGAGAAGCAGCTTCATGGATGATCAAAAGGTACCGTACAGAGAGCAGCTTCATGGATGATCAAAGGTACCGTACAGGAAACAGCTTCATGAATGATCACAGGTACCGTACAGAGAGCAGCTTCATGATGATCACAGGTACCGTACAGAGAGCAGCTTCATGTGATGATCAAAGGTACCGTACAGAGAGCAGCTTCATGGATGATCAAAGGTACCGTACAGAGAGCAGCTTCATGGATGATCAAAGGTACCGTACAGAGAGCAGCTTCATGAAGGATCACAGGTACTGACTCTGGGTGAATGTATTTTCGCTGCCTTTTGTATTAATTTATAAAATGTTATTGTTGAACAGGTCTTAGTTAAATCTGGCAAGACTTTATATTTTATATGTATATAATATATATATATATTATATATATTCATATATTTATATATAATATATGAATATATATATATATTTATATATATATTTATACATATAAAATATAAAGTCTTGCCAGATTTAACAAAGACCTGTTCAACAATAACCATTTTATAAATTATACAAAAGGCAGCGATAAATACATTCACCCAGAGTCAGTACTGTGATCCTTCATGAAGCTGCTCTCTGTACGGTACCTTTGATCATCCATGAAGCTGCTCTCTGTACGGGTACTTTGATCATCCATGAAGCTGCTCTCTGTACGGTACCTTTGATCATCACATGAAGTTGCTCTCTGTACGGTACCTGTGATCATCATGAAGCTGCTCTCTGAACGGTACCTGTGATCATTCATGAAGCTGTTTCTGTACGGTACCCTTTGATCATCCATGAGTAGCTGCTCTCTGTACGGTATCCTTTGATCATCCATGAAGCTGCTTCTCTGTACGTACTATTGATCATCCATGAAGCTGCTCTCTGTACGGTACCTGTGATCATCCATGAAGCTGCTCTCTGTACGGTACCTGTGATCTCATTGAAGCTGCTCTGTACGGTACTGTGATCATCCATGAAGCTGCTCTCTGTACGGTACCTTTGATCATCATGTTTCCCATGAAGCTGCTCTTGTACGGTACCTTTGATCATCCATGAAGCTGCTCTCTGTACGGTACTTTGATCATCCATGAAGCTGCTCTCTGTACGGTACCTTTGATCATTCATGAAGCTGTTTCTCTGTACGGTACTTTGACATCCATGAAGCTGCTCTCTGTACGGTACCTTGATCATCCATGAAGCTGCTCTCTGTACGGTACCTGTGATCATCACTGAAGCTGCTCTCTGTACGGTACCTTTGATCATCATGAAGTGCTCTCTGTACGGTACCTTTGATAATCCATGAAGCTGCTCACTGTACGGTACCTTTGATCATCCATTGAAGTGCTCTCTGTACGGTACCTTTGATCATCCATGAAGCTGCTCTCTGTACGGTACTGTGATCATCCATGAAGCTGCTCTCTGTTACGGTACCTTTGATCATCCATGAAGCTGCTCTCTGTACGGTACCTTTGATCATCCATGAAGCTGCTCTCTGTACGGTACCTGGTGATCATCCATGAAGCTGCTCTCTGTACGGTACCTTTGATCATCCATGAAGCTGCTCTCTGTACGGTACCTTTGATAATCCATGAAAGCTGCTCTCTGTACGTGTACCTTTGATCATACATTGAAGCTGCTCTCTGTCCGGTACCTGTGATCATTTCATGAAGCTGTTCTCTGTACGGTACCTTTGATCATCATGAAGCTGCTATTGTACGGTACCTGTGATCATCCATGAAGCTGCTCTTGTACGGTACCTTTGATAATCTTATTAGTCTTATTAGTCACCAACAAACTATTTGTAAACACTCTCTCTCACTTTGAATCGGCTGTTGTACCTGAGGTCTGGGTGTTGTACCTGAGGTCTGGGTGTTGTACCTGAGGTCTGAGTGTATTGTACCTGTGATCTGAGTGTATTGTACCTATGATCTGAGTGTATTGTACCTGTGATCTGAGTGTATTGTACCTATGATCTGGAGTGTATTGTACTATGATCTGAGTGTATTGTACCTATGATCTGAGTGTATTGTACCTGTGATCTGTTAAGTGTATGTACCTATGATCTGAGTGTATTGTACATATGATTGAGTGCATTGTACCTATGATTCTGAGTGTATTGTACCTGTGATCTGAGTGTATTGTACCTATGATCTGGGTTGTATTGTACCTATGATCTGAGTGTATTGTACCTATGATCTGAGTGTATTGTACCTATGATCTGGGTGTTGTACCTATGATCTGGGTGTATTGTACCTATGATCTGGGTGTATTGTACCTATGATTGAGTGTATTGTACCTATGATCTGGGTGTATTGTACTGTGTGATCTGAGTGTATTGTACCTATGATCTGAGTGTATTGTACCTATGATCTGAGTGTATTGTACCTATGATCTGAGTGTATTGTACCTGTGATCTGAGTGTATTGTACCTATGATCTGAGTGTATTGTACCTATGATCTGGTGATTGTACCTTATGATCTGGGTGTATTGTACCTGTGATCTGAGTGTATTGTACCTATTGATCTGGGTGTATTGTACTATGATCTGGGTGTATTGTTATGATCTGAGTGTATTGTACCTATGATCTGGGTGTTGTACCCTATGATCTGAGTGTATTGTAACTGTGATCTGAGTGTCTTGTACCTATGATCTGAGTGTATTGTACTGAATCTGGTGATTGTACTGATTTGAGTGTATTGTACCTATGATCTGAGTGTATTGTACCTATTGATCTGGGTGTATTTGTACTGTGATCTGAGTGTATTGTACCTATGATCTGAGTGTATTGTACCTATGATCTGGGTGTATTGTACCTATGATCTGAGTGTATTGTACTATGATCTGAGTGATTGTACCTATGATCTGAGTGTATTGTACCTATGATCTGAGTGTATTGTACCTATGATCTGAGTGTATTGTAACTATTTGATCTGGGTGTATTGACTACCTATGATCTGGGTGTATTGTACCTATGATCTGTACCTATGATCTGAGTGTATTGTACCTATGATCTGGGTGTATTGTTCCTATGATCTGAGTGTATTGTACCTATGATCTGAGTGTATTGTACTATGATCTGAGTGTATTGTACCTATGATCTGAGTGTATTGTACCTATGATCTGTACCTATGGTACCTATGATCTTGTACCTATGATCTGGGTGTATTGGTGTGGGTTGATTGTTGTCTATGATCTGAGTGTATTGTACCTGTGATCTGAGTGTATTGTACCTATGATCTGAGTGTATTGTACCTATGATCTGGGTGTATTGTACCTATGATCTGAGTGTATTGTACCTATGATCTGAGTGTATTGTACCTATGATCTGGGTGTATTGTACCTGTGATCTGAGTGTATTGTACCTATGATCTGAGTGTATTGTACCTATGATCTGGGTGTATTGTACCTATGATCTGAGTGTATTGTACCTATGATCTGAGTGTATTGTACCTATGATCTGAGTGTATTGTACCTATGATCTGAGTGTATTGTACCTATGATCTGAGTGTATTGTACCTATGATCTGGGTGTTGTACCTATGATCTGAGTGTATTGTACCTATGATCTGGGTGTATTGTACCTGTGATCTGAGTGTATTGTACCTATGATCTGAGTGTATTGTACCTATGATCTGGGTGTATTGTACCTATGATCTGAGTGTATTGTACCTATGATCTGAGTGTATTGTACCTATGATCTGAGTGTATTGTACCTATGATCTGAGTGTATTGTACCTATGATCTGAGTGTATTGTACCTATGATCTGAGTGTATTGTACTATGATCTGGGTGTTGTACCTATGATCTGAGTGTATTGTACCTATGATCTGGGTGTATTGTACCTGTGATCTGAGTGTATTGTACCTATGATCTGAGTGTATTGTACCTATGATCTGGGTGTATTGTACCTATGATCTGAGTGTATTGTACCTATGATCTGAGTGTATTGTACCTATGATCTGGGTGTATTGTACCTATGATCTGAGTGTATTGTACCTATGATCTGAGTGTATTGTACCTGAGGTCACAGAGACGTCTTACCTTCAGTGAAGCAGAGAAGTGCAGCGTCAACACAAGCCCAGCTTTCACTCTGTGTGGACTGCATTGTGAAACACACACACTAATACACACACACACACACTATTACACACATCACCCACCCCCACACACTATTACACACATCACACACACACCCCCGCACACTAATACACACAAACACCCCCACACAAAAACCCACACACACACACACGCACATAATACACACATCTCACACCACACACTATTACCACATCACCCACATACACCCCACACACGCACTCACTGCATACAACAAATTACACACACACACACTATTACACACATCACACACTAACACACATCACACACACACACGCACACTAATCACAATCACACACACACACTAATACACACATCACACACACGCACACTAATACACACATCACAACACACACCACACACACACTAATACACACATCACACACACGCACACTAATACACACAACACACACACACACTAAGACACACATCACACACACACACTAATACACACATCACACACACACATAATACACACATCACACACCACACTAATACACACATCACACACACGCACACTAATACACACATCACAAACACACACCACACACACACTAATACACACATCACACACACGCACACTAATACACACATCACAAACACACACACCACACACACACTAATACACACATCACACACACGCACACTAAAACACACATCACCCAAACACCCCCCACCCCACACTAATACCACACATCACACACACGCACCTAATACACACATCACACACACACACTATAACCACACATCACACACGCACACTAATACACACATACACACACACACCACACTATTACACACATCACACACTAATACACACATCACACACACGCACACTAATACACACATCCCCCACACACACTAATACACACATCACACACACGCACACTAATACACACTCACAAACACACACACCACCACACACACTAATACACACATCACACACACGCACACTAATACACACATCACACACACACACTAATACACACATCACACACACACACTAATACACACATCACACACACGCACACTAATACACACATCACAAACACACACCACACACACACTAATACACACATCACACACACGCACACTAATACACACATCACAACACACACCACACACACACTAATACACACATCACACACACGCACACTAAAACACACATCACAAAACACACACCACACGCACACTAATACACACATCACAAACACACACCACACGCACACTAATACACACATCACACACACGCACACTAATACACACATCACACACACACACACTAATACACACATCACACACACACACTAATACACACATCACACACACGCACACTAATACACACATCACACACGCACACTAATACACACATCACACACACGCACACTAATACACACATCACACACACACACTAATACACACATCACAAACACACACCACACGCACACTAATACACACATCACACACACGCACACTAATACACACATCACACACACACATTATTACACACATCACACACACACACACACGCACATTATTACACACATCACACACGCACACTAATACACACATCACACACACGTACACACATCACACACATGGTTAGTGTGGACTATGTGGGTCTGAGGGAACTAGCTGGAGACCAGGAGATGGTACCTGTGCTAACACCAGTAAGACCAGGAGATGGTACCTGTGCTAACACCAGTAAGACCAAGGAGATGGTACCTGTGCTAACACCAGTAAGACCAAGAACATGGTACCTGTGCTAACACCAGTAAGACCAAGGAGATGGTACCTGTGCTAACACCAGTAAGACCAAGAACATGGTACCTGTGCTAACACCAGTAAGACCAAGGAGATGGTACCTGTGCTAACACCAGTAAGACCAAGGAGATGGTACCTATGCTAACACCAGTAAGACCAAGGAGATGGTACCTATGCTAACACCAGTAAGACCAAGGAGATGGTACCTGTGCTAACACCAGTAAGACCAAGGAGATGGTACCTGTGCTAACACCAGTAAGACCAAGGAGATGGTACCTATGCTAACACCAGTAAGACCAAGGAGATGGTACCTGTGCTAACACCAGCAAGACCAAGGAGATGGTACCTATGCTAACACCAGTAAGACCAAGGAGATGGTACCTGTGCTAACACCAGTAAGACCAGGAGATGGTACCTGTGCTAACACCAGTAAGACCAAGGAGATGGTACCTGTGCTAACACCACTAAGATCAAGGAGATGGTACCTGTGCTAACACCAGTAAGACCAAGGAGATGGTACCTGTGCTAACACCAGTAAGACCAGGAGATGGTACCTGTGCTAACACCAGTAAGACCAGGAGATGGTACCTGTGCTAACACAGTAAGACCCAGGAGATGGTACCTGTGCTGCACCAGTAAGACCAAGGAGATGGTACCTGTGCTAACACCAGTAAGACCAAGGAGATGGTACCTGTGCTAACACCACTAAGACCAAGGAGATGGTACCTGTGCTAACACCACTAAGACCCAGGAGATGGTACCTGTGCTAACACCAGTAAGACCAAGGAGATGGTACCTGTGCTAACACCAGTAAGACCAAGGAGATGGTACCTGTGCTAACACCAGCAAGACCAAGGAGATTGTACCTGTGCTAACACCACTAAGACCAAGGAGATGGTACCTGTGCTACACCAGTAAGACCAGGAGATGGTACCTGTGCTAACACCAGCAAGACCAAGGAGATGGTACCTGTGCTGACACCAGTAAGACCAAGGAGATGGTACCTGTGCTAACACCAGTAAGACCAAGGAGATGGTACCTGTGCTAACACCAGTAAGACCAAGGAGATGGTACCTGTGCTAACACCACTAAGACCAAGGAGATGGTACCTGTGCTAACACCAGTAAGACCAGGAGATGGTACCTGTGCTAACACCAGCAAGACCAAGGAGATGGTACCTGTGCTAACACCACTAAGACCAAGGAGATGGTACCTGTGCTAACACCACTAAGACCAAGGAGATGGTACCTGTGCTAACACCAGTAAGACCAAGGAGATGGTACCTGTGCTAACACCAGTAAGACCAAGGAGATGGTACCTGTGCTAACACCAGCAAGACCAAGGAGATGGTACCTGTGCTAACACCAGTAAGACCAGGAGATGGTACCTGTGCTAACACCAGTAAGACCAGGAGATGGTACCTGTGCTAACACATGAGAATAAACATGTAGACTGTGGTTTGAAAAGGGTTTGATTTTAAAATCTTCAGTTTTAATCATCCAGCCAACTTTGATTGAAATTGTCACCGGTCAAACCTTTTGTATTTTACGAAACAAAACACAAGTAAGAACAAGCTTTTTATTGGTTAAAAAATATGTATTTAACAAAAAAAAACAGAGAGCACAGGGATCAGAGAGCACAGGGATCAGAGAGCACAGGGATCAGAGAGCACAGGGATCAGAGAGCACAGGGATCAGAGAGCACAGGGATCAGAGAGCACAGGGCTCAGAGAGCACAGGGCTCAGAGAGCACAGGGATCAGAGAGCACAGGGCTCAGAGAGCACAGGGATCAGAGAGCACAGGGCTCAGAGAGCACAGGGATCAGAGAGCACAGGGATCAGAGAGCACAGGGCTCAGAGAGCACAGGGATCAGAGAGCACAGGGATCAGAGAGCACAGGGATCAGAGAGCACAGGGATCAGAGAGCACAGGGCTCAGAGAGCACAGGGATCAGAGAGCACAGGGCTCAGAGAGCACAGGGATCAGAGAGCACAGGGATCAGAGAGCACAGGGCTCAGAGAGCACAGGGATCAGAGAGCACAGGGATCAGAGAGCACAGGGATCAGAGAGCACAGGGCTCAGAGAGCACAGGGATCAGAGAGCACAGGGATCAGAGAGCACAGGGATCAGAGAGCACAGGGCTCAGAGAGCACAGGGATCAGAGAGCACAGGGATCAGAGAGCACAGGGCTCAGAGAGCACAGGGATCAGAGAGCACAGGGCTCAGAGAGCACAGGGATCAGAGAGCACAGGGATCAGAGAGCACAGGGCTCAGAGAGCACAGGGATCAGAGAGCACAGGGATCAGAGAGCACAGGGATCAGAGAGCACAGGGCTCAGAGAGCACAGGGCTCAGAGAGCACAGGGATCAGAGAGCACAGGGATCAGAGAGCACAGGGCTCAGAGAGCACAGGGCTCAGAGAGCACAGGGATCAGAGAGCACAGGGCTCAGAGAGCACAGGGATCAGAGAGCACAGGGCTCAGAGAGCACAGGGATCAGAGAGCACAGGGATCAGAGAGCACAGGGCTCAGAGAGCACAGGGATCAGAGAGCACAGGGCTCAGAGAGCACAGGGATCAGAGAGCACAGGGATCAGAGAGCACAGGGATCAGAGAGCACAGGGCTCAGAGAGCACAGGGATCAGAGAGCACAGGGCTCAGAGAGCACAGGGATCAGAGAGCACAGGGATCAGAGAGCACAGGGCTCAGAGAGCACAGGGATCAGAGAGCACAGGGATCAGAGAGCACAGGGATCAGAGAGCACAGGGCTCAGAGAGCACAGGGATCAGAGAGCACAGGGATCAGAGAGCACAGGGATCAGAGAGCACAGGGATCAGAGAGCACAGGGCTCAGAGAGCACAGGGATCAGAGAGCACAGGGCTCAGAGAGCACAGGGATCAGAGAGCACAGGGCTCAGAGAGCACAGGGATCAGAGAGCACAGGGATCAGAGAGCACAGGGCTCAGAGAGCACAGGGATCAGAGAGCACAGGGCTCAGAGAGCACAGGGATCAGAGAGCACAGGGATCAGAGAGCACAGGGCTCAGAGAGCACAGGGATCAGAGAGCACAGGGATCAGAGAGCACAGGGATCAGAGAGCACAGGGATCAGAGAGCACAGGGCTCAGAGAGCACAGGGATCAGAGAGCACAGGGCTCAGAGAGCACAGGGATCAGAGAGCACAGGGCTCAGAGAGCACAGGGATCAGAGAGCACAGGGCTCAGAGAGCACAGGGCTCAGAGAGAGCACAGGGATCAGAGAGCACAGGGATCAGAGAGCACAGGGATCAGAGAGCACAGGGATCAGAGAGCACAGGGATCAGAGAGCACAGGGATCAGAGAGCACAGGGATCAGAGAGCACAGGGATCAGAGAGCACAGGGCTCAGAGAGCACAGGGATCAGAGAGCACAGGGATCAGAGAGCACAGGGATCAGAGAGCACAGGGATCAGAGAGCACAGGGATCAGAGAGCACAGGGATCAGAGAGCACAGGGATCAGAGAGCACAGGGATCAGAGAGCACAGGGCTCAGAGAGCACAGGGATCAGAGAGCACAGGGATCAGAGAGCACAGGGATCAGAGAGCACAGGGATCAGAGAGCACAGGGCTCAGAGAGCACAGGGCTCAGAGAGCACAGGGATCAGAGAGCACAGGGATCAGAGAGCACAGGGATCAGAGAGCACAGGGATCAGAGAGCACAGGGATCAGAGAGCACAGGGATCAGAGAGCACAGGGCTCAGAGAGCACAGGGCTCAGAGAGCACAGGGATCAGAGAGCACAGGGCTCAGAGAGCACAGGGCTCAGAGAGCACAGGGCTCAGAGAGCACAGGGATCAGAGAGCACAGGGCTCAGAGAGCACAGGGATCAGAGAGCACAGGGATCAGAGAGCACAGGGCTCAGAGAGCACAGGGCTCAGAGAGCACAGGGATCAGAGAGCACAGGGCTCAGAGAGCACAGGGATCAGAGAGCACAGGGCTCAGAGAGCACAGGGATCAGAGAGCACAGGGATCAGAGAGCACAGGGCTCAGAGAGCACAGGGCTCAGAGAGCACAGGGATCAGAGAGCACAGGGATCAGAGAGCACAGGGCTCAGAGAGCACAGGGCTCAGAGAGCACAGGGATCAGAGAGCACAGGGATCAGAGAGCACAGGGATCAGAGAGCACAGGGATCAGAGAGCACAGGGATCAGAGAGCACAGGGCTCAGAGAGCACAGGGATCAGAGAGCACAGGGCTCAGAGAGCACAGGGATCAGAGAGCACAGGGATCAGAGAGCACAGGGATCAGAGAGCACAGGGCTCAGAGAGCACAGGGATCAGAGAGCACAGGGCTCAGAGAGCACAGGGATCAGAGAGCACAGGGATCAGAGAGCACAGGGATCAGAGAGCACAGGGCTCAGAGAGCACAGGGATCAGAGAGCACAGGGATCAGAGAGCACAGGGATCAGAGAGCACAGGGATCAGAGAGCACAGGGCTCAGAGAGCACAGGGATCAGAGAGCACAGGGCTCAGAGAGCACAGGGATCAGAGAGCACAGGGATCAGAGAGCACAGGGATCAGAGAGCACAGGGATCAGAGAGAGATCCATAGACTGTAAATATGAACGGACAGAGCCAGACCTATCTGGGCCGTTCTCACTAATGGGCCAAAAAATGTGCTCTACTGGAGCGAGTGGTCCCGCCCACAAGAAAATTGTGAAAAAACTGTGCATGCGTCAGCTGCGAGAGCTCCATTCAATTAAACAGAGACTTCTAAAGTCCACAGCGACTAAACTAGACTGGTCCAGAACACTCAGCATTGACACACATGTGGAACGGAGCTTTGGGCAAAGAGACACTTTTGGACCATCCTGTAAAGACGTTTTCCAGAGGTCTGCTAACGCTATATGTTAGCATTGGCTAACTCTACTTCTGGGTCCACCCCCACAGGCCCGGGGTGGTACTGCAAACCCGGCCCCACTGGTTCTGACCCAGCCCTGTGTGTGGGAAAGAACCCATCACAGTCCAGAACCCACTCTCATCACTCAGACATTATCTCCTCCACGTTGCAGTAGACCGACGCCTCCTCCTCCTCCTGGTCCTTCTCCTGCTGGTCCTTCTCCTCCTGGTCCTCTGTCATGGCCGCCACCTCCTCCATCTTCCCCTCCTCTTCTTCATCTACAACTGGCCTCTGTTGGACGGTCTCTCTCTTGATCTCTGCGTACTCGGTCTTGGTGGTGACTTCCTGGTTCGGTCTCGCCGTTGCCGTGGCGATGGCGGAGAAGTTGATGCTAGCGTAGTGTAGCTCTTCTGCTGTAGCTGTCGACATCATGTGATTGTTGAGCTGTGGACGCACAAAGAACGCACATGCACTCAGAGGGTGCATGAGGCCCAGGCACATGCACTCAGAGGGTTCATGAGGCCCAGGCACATGCACATCAGAGGGTGCATGAGGCCCAGGCACATGCACTCAGAGGGTGCATGAGGCCCAGGTACATCAGAGGGTGCATGAGGCCCAGGCACATGCACTCAGAGGGTGCATGAGGCCCAGGTACATCAGAGGGTGCATGAGGCCCAGGCACATGCACTCAGAGGGTGCATGAGGCCCTCTAACAAGTGTCAGCTTTGATTAGAAAAGCATTAATGTTATAAAATAAATCACAAGATTTTCACACGACTTCCAAAGTAAGATAATCATTATTATTATTATTAGTGCTTTTGTTGTTTTTTCGTTCATATGAAAACCATATACCATCAGTACCTAAGAACACCGATCACCATTCTATTGACTGATCATGATTTCATTATTATTTGCATTACATTTGTCATAATTTTCATTCTCGACCACACATTATCATGATTATAAGTCCCATTACCGTAATAATTTTATTCACACTACCCATTATTTTTGTTGAATGTCTGCTTGTCGTCATTCCCAATTCACTATAAAATATTGTTTGTGGCTGCAGAATTATTTGTGTTGTTTGCCTTATTAAGTGAGATGCATTAAAAAGCTGGGTGTGAAGTGTCCGGGCAGAGGGCAGGGACCCCCCATCAGTTAGCCACACCCCGCTGCCCCCGCTGCCCTAACTATTAGTAAGGTTCTAAGGCCTGTGCTGTGGTGACACTGGTTCTATCGGCAATGACGTGGTTAAACTGATTCACAATAATAACCTAACAAGTCACATGTCTTTAGCATATTTCTCAAACACACTTCTCTTGAATCGTTTTGTGAATAGCTGTAAACAACCAACGTCTTTTAAGGGTTCCTCCAGATTATTCCACAGATTTACACCTCTGTGAGTAGGAAGTCCTCCTGTGGACTCACCACCTGCAGAGGGTCAGTGAGGGGCTGGTGCTATGAGACTGCCACCCCCCTGACCCAGAAATGGATTAAAGGGAAGAACATGGATGGATGGATGGATGGAGTAGGAAGAGTGAACACTTTGAACTTTGAGGTTGTGAGTGCCTCTGAGGTCTTTTACTAAACATTTGTTGCATGTTGCAGCTGGTTGTTTACAGCTTTATTTACCTGTAACAGAGTGTTATGTTTTATGAGATCATCACATTTCATGGTGTTTGATTCTAAGGACCGTATATTTGTGTATATAACCGACATTATGAACGATTCTAATGGCCTTCTTTTGGAGTCTATATAAAACCTGTAAGTGACTACTGAAGGTATTTCCCCCTCTGAGAATAGTTTATGTACGGTAGGATTAAGGAACTACTGAGCCTTTTGGTCCAGAAAAAATCGACATTTGCCCATTATCGCCACATTTTTGCCATTTTCCCTCGAATGCTGTCTATTTGTGGTCAGCTAGCCTTATGACTGAACATCACACCCAGAAATGTATATTCCTTGACTTGTTCAATTTGACCATTATCAATATTGAGAATTTTAATATCACTGTTTCATTTAACAAATAAAATAATTTTTGTTTTTAATATGTTCAGCGATAGTTTATTTCTACTGAACCGTTCTTTCAGTTGGTATAAGTATTGTTGTGACCTCTGGGACAAGCACTTGGAGATCCTTTGCTAGAAGCAAGAATTGTTGTGTCGTCTGCAAATAAAATCAATTTAAACTTTGTTGGGACTTTGCACAGATCATTTATATATATTTATAAGAACAATGTAGGACCTAATATCGGACCCCTGGGGGACTCCGCATGTTCTTCTGTCCTGTCACATGTTCATTCATTTGAGGACGTACTGCTGTCTTTCAGTCAAATATGACTTCAGCCAATTGTTAGCCACCCCTCTATTCCCATTATTATTAAGTTTACTTACGAGAATTTCATGATCTATAGTGTCAAAGGCTTTCTGGAGGTCTATGAATATTCCCAAACAGTACAGTTTATTGTCAATGTTGTTGTTCTTCGATTGGATTGATTAAAGCATGTGCCGTAGACCTGTTGTTTCTGAACCTGTCACTGAGTAAGTTATGTTCATTCACAAAGCTGTCCAAGCGGGCGGCAACCTTGGAACGACCTTGGAACGACCTTGGAACGACCTTGGAACGACCTTGGAACGACCTTGGCAATCTTCATGAGGTCTGGGAATTCTCCGGTTGAAAAGGATAAGTTACAAAGAAATGCTTTGTATTACTCATTTTGATCAAAGTTGTTTTAATCAGATGTTTTACTCTTGAACGATTTTGATTATTTCATTTTCATCCGCTGCAGTGAGAAAGTGTAATCTGGGATTGTTTACCATCATGTAATCTGGGATTGTTTACCATCATGTAATATGGGATTGTTTACCATCATGTAATCTGGGATTGTTATCATCATGTAATCTGGGATTGTTTATCATCATGTAATCTGGGATTGTTTATCATCATGTAATCTGGGATTGTTATCATCATTGTCAATCTGGGATTGTTTACCATCATGTAATCTGGGATTGTTTACCATCATGTAATCTGGGATTGATTTTACCATCATGTAATCTGGGATTGTTTACCATCATGTAATCTGGGATTGTTTATCATCATGTAATCTGGGATTGTTTATCATCATGTAATCTGGGATTGAAGCAAAGGAAGGTTTCTCACCCATCATCTGTTCTTCTTAGCAAGTTTTCCCGACGTTTCGTCCTCAAACTAGCGGACTTCTTCAGGGAATGTAATTCTCGGACCGCGCGTTGGAGATTTATAAACCTATGCTGATACTAACTCATAAACAATCTAAGGTCTGATGTAGAAGGGAGCAGGTCTAACGACCCTGCTGAGGCTAACGACCCTAACTCATTAGCATGTCACTGACCTTGTCCCAAGTTAGGGCGTTGTTTTTAGGAATGTACAAAGAATGAGAATGTCTGTAAGAGAAAGCCTACAGAAAAGAACGCCACACCTACGGGGAGAGAGATACGAAACTTAACAGCTGACCACATCTGTGAAATACTTATGTGGTGTCTTAACACCACGTATTTCCAATTTAGAGGCACCTTCTTTAGACAGATTCATGGCTGTGCGATGGGCTCCCCAGTCTCTCCTATAGTGGCCAATCTGTATATGGAGAAACTGGAGGAACAAGCCCTGGGCTCTTACCAAGGGACAGCGCCAAGCCATTGGTTTGATATGTAGACGATACATGGGTTAAGTTAAAGAAACAGGAAGTGGAACCATTTTCAGAACACATTCACTCGGTGGACCCTTTTATAAATTTCACTCGCGAGGATGCTAAGGAGAGTGAACTCGCCTTTCTAGATTGTAAGGTCATCATACTGGAGAACGGACAATTAGAGACTGAGGTCTTCAGAAAGTCCACTCACACTGACCAGTACCTGGCCTTTGACTCAAACCATCCGCTACAACACAAACTCGGGGTCATTAGAACGCTTCAACACCGAGCCCACCAGGTCCCCACTAGCTCGGAGGGAAAGAACAGAGAAACCAAACATGTTCAGAGAGCACTTTCCAGATGTGGCTACCCCAAGTGGTCTTTTACTAAAGCCCAAAGGACGAGAAAGGCCAGAGACACAGTCCAACAGACAGAAGAAAGTAGGAGGAGTGAAAGAAGCCATTTTTGTGAGGAAACAAAAAGCTTCTCTTAACAGAGGAGGAGGGTTAAGATTTGTTTTGCCTCGCATCTATGACGACATCCTAAAAACAACGGCCTAACTTGGGACAAGGTCAGTGACATGCTAATGGGTTAGGAGGGTGAGACCTGCACTCCACTTGAGCATCCCAGCAGACAATAGGTCAGTGACATGCTAATGAGTTAGGAGGGTGAGACCTGCACTCCACTTGAGCATCCCAGCAGACAATAGGTCAGTGACATGCTAATGAGTTAGGAGGGGTGAGACCTGCACTCCACTTGAGCATCCCAGCAGACAATAGGTCTGTGACATGCTAAGGAGTTAGGAGGGGTGAGACCTGCACTCCACTTGAGCATCCCAGCAGACAATAGGTCAGTGACATGCTAATGAGTTAGGAGGGGTGAGACCTGCACTCCACTTGAGCATCCCAGCAGACAATAGGTCTGTGACATGCTAATGAGTTAGGAGGGTGAGACCTGCACTCCACTTGAGCATCCCAGCAGACAATAGGTCAGTGACATGCTAATGAGTTAGGAGGGTGAGACCTGCACTCCACTTGAGCATCCC